AATGAGAGTTTTAAGTTTTGCTTCAAGAGCAGTCAATTGCACAGAGAGATAAGTGGGGAAAAACCCCACAGTTTTGTCCAAACCGCAGAGAAGCCTGGAGAGAACATAATTTTGTAATAAACATGGCAGCATCGCCATGCTTCATCTGGCGTACAGAAGAGAAATTATACTGACAGAAAAATGGAAATTGCTTAATTGAGAAAGAAAAATCAAGGCATAATAGGGTCTACATATTGTGAAGTCTTTTACAAAATACAACAGACCCTCCACCTACATTTCACTTCTTGTAGAACTTGTGCCATTTCACCAGATATATGCATGATTCCAATTTTAATAAAGTAGGCAACCTTAGGCTTCGGATTCTCTCTTCTTCTTTCCATCTTCTCCTAAATCACTGTCTTCCGACTGGCTGCTGCTAAGGACTACAAACTGTCCTTCTCCACTGCTCTGGTTCGATCTGCTGGAAGCAGCTATCAACCGGCTTTGTTCCTCCAAGTCCTAATTTGAGAAGGGGCGATTGGGAAATCAGAAAGAGAATATTAACTTTCAAGCCATCTGCAATTGAAACAGAATACTGTTATTATGATTTATAAACTACCTTTTCATACTATCAATGGACAGCTTTCTGTACAGAGGGAATTAAAAGACTGAATAGGAAACCAAAGCGTTTATATTTCAGTGCTTGGCATTATTAGAACAACTAACACATGAACGCGTTTGTACCTACAACCCACAGAACGCAGCAGGTCAGAACAAGTATCTTTGTTGACAGCTTGCTCCCCTGCAGCCCCTTCCTCACCATGTAACCGAACCCTCCGCAGCAAACAAAATTATGTTGGGCCTGTGATAGGTGTTCCTTCAAGCACTGCTCTTAAACCACAAAACAGATTTATAGGAATACTTACCTCCTCAGAAGAGCTCTTTTTAAAAACTACTATACAAAGTTACACAAAATTGGCACAGGAAAAATGTCTAATAAACAACTTAATTCCATAATGTTCTACGAACTTGTACTAAAGAATGTGATAGTGGAGCTTGGAGTACAAAACTGCAAAAGAAAGAAAGTAGAAAAAAAAAGAATATTAAGAAATATTGATGAAATGTACCTTTTCAATTTGTTTTTGTTTGTTCAGTTCTTTTTGTTGTTTCTCTTTGACTCTATCTATTTCTTTTTGCTTTTCTGATGCTTTTCGATCCTGAAGGGCAAAAGTGTAAATAAAAGAAACAACAGCCTGAGATGTTTGATACACTACTGATTTATATGAGTTTGCTCAAACTGTTATACCTCTGTTTTGGTTATTCTTCTCTGAAAGGACTGCTATGTTTGTTAAAGGTAGCAAGCCAGATCCTATCTTGGATATTGTTCCACAGTAGACATTGGTCAAAGTCTTTTTATCTTGGGTTTAAATTCTAGAAAACAAATCCCTCAAAATACACCACAACAGTATTACTGCATCTGTAAGCATTTTGCAGAATATATTCTATTATACATATTAAATATACTCTCTCCCTTCCATTCACAAGTATCCCTTGCCCCAAAAAGATTCTTACCAGTTCTGCATGAAAAGCTATCTGTTTTGCCAGTCCAACAGAGTCACAAATCTAAACACAAAACAGATTGCAAATCATCAAAAAGGCTCTAATAAAAATGCCTTTAAAAATTACACCAGATTCCCAAATTAAGCACAGTAGCATATTAAAGCCCCTGCAAGTACTTAAACTGTCAGGTTGAACTGTTTTTCAGTCCATAAACAAAATTCTCTTCCATAGAAATCCCTCAGACAGCTTGAATGCATCCAACATCTTGGAATCCACATCAGGTTCAGAACTGATACAAGTATAACCACCACCAATACCTTTTCCCCTTCATTATTTGATTCAAATATATAGCAGACGGAAGTTTGGCGGCTCTCAGCTCTCCCTCCTGAAGTTCTAAGCACAAATCCAAAGAGGCGTTTATTCTCCTGGTGCGTAGCATACAAGACTACATTGGGCAAAGGAAACTGCCAAAAAGGATCAAATACAAAGATATTAAAATTGGGTCCAAATAGTTTCCATATGAGGCTTCAACATATACTGCATGTTAATTACTGCAATATCACAAATACACAACCACACCAGAAGTTACAATCTGACCAAATACGTATTACTGAACACAAAACAGTAGATCAGAAGGCAAGGATTGAATTATTCAAAAGACAGGAAAAATTCTAAAAACACATTCTATATAAGAGAAGGCGACCACATTTGCAATGCGATTCTGTCATCTTTCTAAATAAGAATACACTCCTTTTCTATTTTCTTTAAAGAGGCCTCATTCATACAAATGACATTTGTGACTGAGATTTCAATATTTGGTCCCAAGCAAAGGCACTACTTCTCCAAAATCTTTACCTGCAGTAAGTTCAGCTCTCCTGAATTATATAAGCAAAAAAAAAAAGAAAAGAAAAACAAAAAAACCCAAAAAACCCCCGAAACAAACCACATATCATCATTATTTTGTTACAATAAAACTATTTTGCATTCTCGTTCCTAAAAGCAGGTGGACTTAAGACATTTCAAATGTATCTTTTTAAGACTTACCAAAGGGTAAGTTTTTAAATTCTGAAGGGCCCTACTACAACTGTTATAAACAGATAGGATGAGTTTTTCCTAACCTTAAATGTACACATTTAGAATACTGGACATGCACTCAGTTGATTATGTCACCTGTGAAAGCTTACAGCTTTGGGGCAGTTTTGAACTTAATGCCACAAAGGTAAAGAAAGAAAAAAGCACTACTTGAAACACCAAGACATTTTCACATGCTTAGGATTTCCTTGTACGGAAACGAAATTCAGAGTCCCCAAAAAACTGAATGTTTGTAAAAGAAGACCCAAAGAAGTTAAATGACAGACCATAAATGTGCATAAAAAAAAGGGGTGGGGGGAAACAGTTTCGAAATAGGAAAAATAAAGACTGCTATTACTGAAGAATTAAGAATTAATCCTAAGAAGAATTCCACTTACTTCTTTCAAGTGCATTTTTTAGAAAGAATTAGGAAAAAACCCCCAAACCAGAAACTGTACAACACACTCTCAATGCAATTATGCATTAAAAACAAAAAACCCAAACAAACCCCCAAAAATCAAACACCAAGCAAACCCTCTTGGACTTCAGAACTAATCTGACTCCAACCTTAATGTTACCTCTATACGAACAACATAAATGTTTATAACCAAACACGTTGTTAGAATACAATATTCTGTTTTCCTTAGATTCTACCCTATCAAATCGGGGCGGGGGTGTCAAAAGCCTATTTGACCTATGGAAATCACTCCCTTTAAACCTGATTTGCTAGGGTTTTTCTGTCTATTTTTAAGTGTATGCATTGGTCTCCTAATTTCAGTGGAAATTTGTCTGGAAATCGCATGCTGATTTTTGCTAACATCTAGTAATATTATTTTTAAAGTAGAAAAATTACATTGCTGGGTATTTATCTTAAAATGTAAAGTTACTTACTCGTAGTCTTGTAACTTGTGTCTGTGGATCAATTAACCTAAAAATTTGTTTTTAAAAACAAACCAGAAAGTAAATTTTACCAAAGTGAAAGAAGATCATTCTGTAAATTAACATCAGTAGAAGTCAGCAAGCAAACTTACTTTAAACAGTCACAAGTGACTAATAAATGCGATTCTGTCATCCTGAAAATGTTATGGATGGCGCGAGCTGCTAGTATTTGACGCATCGTTTCATAAACAACATCTGGACTTTCGTCAGACTTCACCTCCATAGAGCCAAGAAATCTTACAATAAATAACTGATGAAGAATTGAATCTAAGACAAAGAGAAGTATTGAAAAAAGTGAACTCCATTTTGGGTTTTGCATTCAAAACCAAAGGCTGACTGCAGTCAGGAAAACTCCAAACTTCTAGTAACTTGGAAAGAGATTGCTCATACTTAAGAATTAGAGGTACAATTATTAAACAGCAAGTCACACATCTTTTAATTTGGTTTAATGAATACAAAAGATGCAACGAATTATTTTTAGAACAGACTTTCAGACAGTAGCCTGATTTAACTCGTCTAATACATTACACTAATGTAACCAAGCATTCTAAAACTGGTGCTAAATTAGAAGAGAGAAGCTACAGATGAAAATAGAAAATTTTCAAATTCTATTTTTTATTTTGCATTGAAATAAAACTTTTGCTTTACCTTCTGTTTCAGACTTTGAGCCTCCAGATTCACCAAAAGGATTTGTGCGTCTATTAAAAATGAAAACATTAAACCAGGAGTCAGATTTACAAGAACCACCAATGAATAACGTAGTAGTCTCATGCTGCATCAAATAAGACCACGTAATGATTTCAGACTCGTAAGCCGAAGGAATAATGTATGATAAATCGTAAGGACAAAAAATTTAATCAGGAGTTAGGCATAAATCGCTATATTGCTCTAGGGCTCAAATTATGGGAAAAATACCAGATACCATTGTCCTATTGCTGCCATAGAGAGTTTTGCTCACATGGTATTTTTTAATACCTGAATTAAGCCCAAGACAAGACCTTGTTAATATTTGAAAAGGTATAGTTTTAGGGGATGAAATTTCACAGAACAGCTTCAGGAAGTACAGCCAAAAGCTAGTCCTTTCAGTACTCCACAGGAGCACCACACTTCTCGTCACTGTCTCAAGTTGTTGAATTACTTACTGAAGAGAAGTCACTGGTTTTGTTTCAAATGCAGCTTTCTGAAAACATCACTGGGGTTTTACTCCTAGAGGGTCAAGAGAAATGTGGCTATTTCTGGCTCTCAAAGACAGAATTACTATCAGTTACAATGAAAAGTGAAAATACTCTAGGCTTCCAAGTCTAAATTTTTCAAAAGCAGTAAAGCAATGCTGAAGAGTATGGGAAATGGGCAAATTTTATTTAAAACGTCTAAAGAGGGAAAAACCCCCTTTCTCTTTGGCTAACTGGTAGCTGAAAAACTATCATCAAGGGTTCAATAAACTTCAAATTAGGTTTTATAGGGGAGTAATGAAGGTGTCACCTCTCAATAGTTAGTGTTCTAAAAGGAAATTTCAGAACTAAGAGAAAAAAAAAGTCAATCTCTCTTGTTCAGTTACATGTCATACTGCCAGTTTTATTTTATCAGTTAAATCTTTTAGCTAAGAGATCTCTAGTTTAAAGTAATAAAATTGTTCTAGATTGAACTCTGAAGTCAAGATTGCATTGCTACAATGTTGATATATGTGGACTCAATCACGAATCATCCCATTAAATGCTGACCTGTGTAAATACACTAAAGGGAAATTCTTTCAATGAGCGTCTTTCATTGCTCAGACTTTTCTTGTCATTTAAGATTAGACTGGAACAGTAAATGCAAAATCTCACAGGATCTCTCAAAAGGCAAAAATAAGATTTAAATATATGTCATCAGTATCAGAAACTAAGAAAAGTCTCTTTTTTTAAAAATAATTAATATTTCCAAAGTAGCCTGTTGCCTATCTGTACAAACACTACAGTTCTTTATTGACAGTGATGGTTAACTGAAAATACTGAGCACAACTCTGTATCATTTCTGCTATGAAAAATATGATTTTCTAGAATGGAATTATAACTGATGACATGAATTTAGCTGAAGTCTTAACCCCTCCACTTCCTGGAATACAGTTCAAGTCTATTTTAAATCAATATGTTCTTAAGGATCTAGTCAGCCAACTGATTATCCTGCTATATCAAACAACAACAAAATAAACTGTCAAAAAAAAAAAAAAGCTGCAGCTATATAATTTTAACTCTTATGTATCTGTGAGGTGAAAATTCAAATATTTTTCTAAAGGGCAGCGGGAAACAACACATTATTGTGGCTAGAGTCACATAAGTTACTTTTCATCTTTTTGGCTTTTTTTGTTGTTGTTAAGAGCAGCTGAATCTGCAAATATGTTTTCTTAATATCTGAATTCTGTACATATAGTTCCAGAAATGAAGTGCAGATTTACAGGTTTTTATTATTATTTCTGAATGGGAAGTTTACAAAAAAACAAGTAGGAGAAAATGTTTTTGTATTTTGGGAAGAGCTCTTAGACAATTTTAACTTGTCTGCATATGAGGTTACTCTAGAAGCCTAGATCATTTTCACTCACCTTTCAGGTTAAGAAGAGTGTCATCGTATGCCATCATCACCTGGAGGCAGGGCTACCAAATTTCTCTTGAGTTTCCAAGAGGAAATAACCCAAGCTGCTGGGTGAGCAAGCAATAGGAAAGGAAAATACTTTGTGAAACCAAAAGATTAAAATAATTCAAGAAATAAAAGCATTAGCTGTTAAAGCAAGAAAAGCTGCTGCTAAATAGAAAAATACATCTTGAACCTAGTGCGTGTAATTAAGCTGTTTTTTTACAACTCTATTTAACAATTTAAAAAATTGTTTTGCTTTGCTGGCCACTGCAAATTTTGTGACACGAGTCAGGGCAAAGGCAATGTGTGTTTTGGAGCTGCAGCCTGAACATGGTTTTCTTGTTTGTTTGTTCATTTTTGAATTAATAATGTTAACTTTAGGAATTTTTTTCTTTCTCTCTGCATGTCCTACCTGCCCGACTGCCCTGAAGATTTTGCTTGACCAGGTAGATCTTCACTAACTGGAGATATTATGTCAAATTGTATAGGAGTGTCAGGGGCAACAAGTGAATCCAAGGAAAGTGCTGATAAAGCTGCTGATTCAGATCCCAGTGACCCTGTGCTGCTCGTACGAGCTGCAGGAGGACGAGATTGTCTAAAACAAAACAAAAAATCAAAATGAAAATATCTTGGTTTCAGGTTGGTTGATAATAAATTAAACCATATGGGAGACCAATACGATATTCCAAAACTTGGATAGAAAACAAAACAAAAACTAAAAACCTGAAGATGATCAGGGTATAGTAAACAAAAATGCAGTCTACATTCCTACTCAAATTTAAGTAAGTTAAAGTTATACTTGGATTAATAATTGCATCAGATTGTATTATATTTCATATGTGATTATGTATTGATGTTAAAACAATCTGAGGTCTGCTGCCAGGAGTTGGACACATTAAGAAAAATCTCATTATGAATTCAGACAACAAACCAGACATATCATGCAACCAACAAAACTGTCTAGTCAGCTGGAAATCTGGATTACTTGTAACAATGGATGCTAAACAATGCTAAAAGGATGAGTTCAAGAAATTTTCCTCTAGCCTATCAAAGACTTAGTTCTGAACATAGAAAGTTTTGTTGTTTGGGTTCTCCCCCCACTTGGAACTTCATCCAGGATTCTCTTTATAGATGTACTCTTCAAATGACCTATAGTTCATTAACTTACACAGGTGGCCGCATGCTCTCATGCCTCTGCTGAAAGGAAGGAGACGGAGTAACAGCCTCCAGAGCTGACTGATTTACACGTGCAGCAATTTCCTGCAATGGAAAGATGGGCAAAAATAACTGAAAACGTTTTCCTCAAAATAAGCTTTAAGATTTTAGATTTATTTGCAATTGACAGAAGTTATAAACTCAACCCTTTGTGAGAATCTTACATTCCTAAATTTTCACTAATGTAGTTGTAGTATTTTCTTCTAACTTGTAACACATTTCCTGCTGTTCACTTTCTAAATTTAAATGAATGCACTTGCTTTATTATACTGTGAATGTTAATAAAAGGCAGCAATAGAGATAAGTCCCAATGACAAGTCTGACAAAATAGGCAAATGTAACCAGGAAGAAAAAGAAAAATCTCATTTGAGAAATGCATTCCTCAACTACTAACTAAAAAACATGAAGATTCAAAAGTCTGCACTTGAAATTTGGGAACACTTAAATGTTTCTGAAAAACCAAGGCATGAACAACTATCAAGTAAGGACTACCCAACAGTGTTATTTCAGCAAATAACTGACCAGTTACAGTTGAAGAATTCCACTTTAATCTTCCATTGAAATCACTAATTCTGAAGTATCGGTGTTTAATGTTGATGGCTTCACTTCATGGGGTAAAACCAATAGTGAAAGTCCTTGAGGAAAGAGGATTTTTGGAGACGGGAGGTGCAGCAGACAAAACATTTTGTGTGAGCGCGTGACTCGGAAAATGAGAATGATACAAAGCCATCGGGGGGTGAGGAGAAGGCACTAAGATCCAGGCGTAAATGCACACACCCTCACTGATGTAAGGGAGCTGCACCTGTTTATGCCAGGGCTACACAGAACCCCAGCTGTATATTCATCAGAACATGTGCTTTAGGTCACTGAGCTTTGCACTAAAACCATTTTGATTCTCATCTGTATAGTTAACTTCGACAGTCAGCCAGGTACTTGTATTATCTACAAAGTTATAATTAGTTCCTAAACCAAAAACTGCCATGACATGCTTTCCATTTCACCTTGATCTTCCAGATCATTTGGCAAGAGCCTTGCGTTACATAGTTGAATGATGGATTCCCATATTATTCAACAAGCTGCCTGCTGACTGCTGTATCTACAGTTCTCATCTCTGGCAATCACTGGAAAGTTTCCTTTCCAATAAACTGTTTCAGACCTCATCAGGGACATCAAGGAGTACAATCTGACTTTCAACACACTTTATATATAAATGCTGTGTTATAAAACAACAGATTTTGTTGGGCCAATTCCATAGCAAGTAAAAAATCACTACGTAAGTCTGTATCAATATGAATTTACTATATAATTATAAATTAAAACCATATAACTGACATTAATTTACTTACCCAAATTCTCTACATGAAACAAATAATCAATTTTTAACTCTTCAAAAGGCAAATAACTCTTTAAGGAAGCAAAAGTATGTCTTTCCTACAAAATTGTTATGCTCATCTCATTCCTACAATTGTCAGTTCCCTCTAGGAGAAATTAAATGTATCCATCTGAGTATTTGTCATATTAATTTGTTACAAAGTATCATATACAAAGTACAAATACAGGATCTTGACAATGTCAGAAAGTTATACCAAATATAAAAGTCACGTATTTTTAATGCTTTATATAAGCATTTAGATGAAGGAGACAATGGACTGTATGTTTTCATACCATGAAAAGCTTATAATTAGACATGTAGGAAGTACTCAGCTTAATTCTATGCTATCCAATTAGATCCAGTTAATATCTTTTTATATATATATTTTAGTAAAGTTACCTCAGGGTTTTCACTTAGATATATCTGTTTAGATATGTTGTTTATGGTGCATATCCACTGAAAAAGAGAGAAAAAAAGAGAAAAAAAAATTTTCATAGCTTTTTAACAAACTTGATTAAATACCCAAGTTGGCTAGTCTCGGCACTTTTTCCACTTTCTTTGTAACTTTGGGGAGCCAAATCAGTATTGTGCACACCCAGCTTGTCATTAAATTCACTACTATCTGCGTACTGCACCTTACAATATCAGATTTTTACTTGAAAAAGTTATTTTAGTCACACTGAAGATGAAAAGTAAAGCAAGTTTAAATCACGACTATAAGGAATTTTTTAAAAAAAAAAAAAGGATTCTCTGTACTCCATTATTCTGTGACTGCAGATGACATTGTTTCCTCAAGACATAAAGATTCCATCTGCCTTTTGTGGAATTTGCCCATTTCTTGCATCTGTAAGCTAGAATCTATTTTCTCCCTGTGCTATGGAAAACCACCTGCTCCTGCTTCTTGCTTTTTGACTTTTCTCCAAAGGAGAAAACTAACTCGATTATAAGCATACTACTGGTGCTGTTCCACTGAACCCCAGCTTGTTGTCAGGGTTGCCACCTGAGCTATCTAAAAGACAGCACAGCAGCTACAGCCCAGAAAATGACAAATTTGAGCTGCTAAAGCTGACTATAAACTCTCTTCCCCTGGTGAGGCATCCGAGGGCAAATATTTCAGAGTCAGGCTACTGGGCAATCTCAACAGAGCAAATGAACGAGGGCCAACCTGACACAGCCCAGCTAAGAACCCTAGAAATAGCATAAAAGGTCATTTTATGTCAGTGTAACATTGAAGACTGCAGAGGAATTTGAATCCAGGCCGAAACTACTGTATTTTCTGTATTTCCTTATCCAGCTGCTTGCCCAAACATATTTTAAATCAACTGTGCTTTTAAAACGTTTTCTATATTGAACACTAATAACAGATGTACCTTTTTAATTAATAAATACTTTATATCACTTAGTACATCTGTTCCTTTGTTTCTAGACAAATCTGACTATTTCATAGACTATAAAAGCAATGAATCTATTGGTTTGGCCCATCTGTGCAAGCCTTCGGAAAGCTGTAAAAAGCTGTCCAAATAAAACATAAATTCTAATAACTAGAACCTTCTTTCTTAGACCAGTACCCACCTATACCATTAGGCTGTTATTTACAAAAAGTCCAGAGAAACTTTTTATTTTAACCTCTAGAGAAAGCTAAAAAAAACAGGGAAAAGATATCCCTGCTGGTTGGGTGGGGTTTCCCCCCTGCCCCCTTTCCTTTCTCCATCAGTATTTGCTACAAGTTTGCTGACCTAGTATTTGAACACTGACATTTCTCAGCTGGTATTCATCCACTGCACAGACAAATAAACCTGCATCATGACACTTAGCAGCCATTTGGAAATAGTGATCACAAACAGCAAGCAGCTTTGAAAGCAGTCCAAAAGCAAATTATTTCAAATTTCTCAATTCAACTTGTTCATAATGTATAAACAGGTTTCCCATCATGCATCAGGGGCAGAAAAAGTGTTCTTCCTCATTTCTCAACTGCCTGTATCCTTATCTGTGTCCTAACCTAAGATTTCCTTTATCTTCCACTCCTGACAAGCAGGTAGGAAGAAGGAAGGATGGGAAAGCATGAACAGGAAGAAGCAGCATCATTTGTTGAGATTTCATTACTGCTAGATATTTTGCTGTGGGCTCCCCGCCCCCCCCCCACCTTCTTCCATAACACTGAAAAGGACTTGGTGGCAATCAGAACTGCATTTTTTTTCTCTAGGATTTAAACACAGTAATATTTTGTCAGACTTCATGAAACCTGTCATTATGGATAGAATGAGTTACAAGTTCACTGCTTACCACCTAGAGAACATAAAATGAGCATTCCAACTATTGTTATGAATGTATTCCTTCTGCACTACAGAAAATCACCAGACTCCATGCAAACCTTGTATAAGCTTACCTCTTCGTAATCTTTTTTACTCTCTGCCTGTAAGATTGAAGACCTGAAAGAGGAGAATGGAAAAGACAATTTTGTCTATTTAAAATGCCTCACAAGTACATTCACAGGCAATTCCATTTTCATGTTTGTACATTGCACAACAAATTAAGAAAGGCTGAAGAGTCTGTGTACATGCCGAGTGCAGTCAACAATTAATTGGGGGGTGGGGAGGGAAATCTATGTTTTCATTTTAATTGAAAATAGAAAAGGAAGAAAATTCTCATTGTGCCTGTGTAATACTTAAGCACTCACAAAATGTAATAATACAGCACTGTAAAATGATTATGGTAATTTTATTCTGAAATACCACTCAGCTACATTATACAGCTTATAAACTAAAAAAACCCAGACATTGCAAAGTTAAAATGACATCCCAGATTTTGCTTCTAAATACCCCCAAAATCTATCAAGCTATAATCTAGCCAAAGGTAGACCATCTTTTTTTTCCTAATTAGCGAGTCCAGTATTACTTACAGATAACAGTAATGTAAGAATACTTACTTTTTACCATCAAAAGATGTTATCTGAAAACAGTACCGTCTGTCTTCACAGTCCACAGCCATTACAGAACAATTGTCTATATCCATGACAAGTCCCCCAGCTACGTCACCTCTTGCCTGGCTCATCAAATTTCCACCTTGAGTGAAGTAAAACTGTCTCTCCCAACTGGAAGACACCAGCCCTGTCTTACTAAAAGGTACAAAGAGGTTCTTAGTTAGTAGATTAGGAGTTCAACTGAGCTGTACAAATTAGAAAAAATTAAAATTACTTGGAACAAACCATCTGGGCACTTAAGAAAACTTTTTTCCCTGTTTAATGTTTTAGGTTAGGCTTTATAGCTAAATTAGTCTCTTTCCATCTGTTGGTTTTTTATTCTAAATCTATTGCTGGGCAAAGAATACATAAAAGAGTTGCTTTCTTACATTATATGAAACCTAATTTAGAATAAAAAGGCGTAAGTACTTCAGTTTCAATGATCAGCTTTTATGGTATCGCTTTACACAATATGCATATTCAAATGATATGCACTATCAATGTAATTGATAAGACCTCTGAACTCTGCATTTTTATTAAGACTAAACAAAGTTTTGCAGAACTTTCTGTTAAGCATTAGCTTAGTCACGTAAGATATCTCAGTTTTCCAAGTATTTTGAACCATTCCACAAGATTTCCAAAATTTTGCTTAGAGCATTTTGTTGGGGGTTTTTGGGTTTTTCTTCCCCCCAGAATAACAGAAGATGAACAATCTGAAACCAAAAATCAGTAACACTTGCAGTTTAGCCTCCCTTTTTGTTCAGATACTATTTTCAATTTTAATTGATGCAATTGTGTTCTACTACAGAAATTCATGCCTCATGCAGTGAGTATGTTACTCTAACTGTTGCTGAAAAAGTAATCTACTTTTTTTTTTTACAATTCCTTGGAGCTTATTATATAAATTACAGAAAAAAAATCTGACTGTTACAACTTGGTTTTAACAAATATAAAAACCAGCTGCTAGACTTTAATAACTAAAGTAACAGCTCCCTCCAGTGGACAAAAGACTTCCTCATGAAATTGAGAAGGCCGTTCCAAGTGGAGGAATGTTTTGCCTTGTGTATCTCAAGGCTGTCATATTTTGTTAGTAACTTGAATCCCAAAGCTTTAACAGACACTTATATAACAATCCTGATAGCTGCAATCTTCTTGTTTTCCAATTACAACCCAGTGAATTACACTCTCCTAAACTTTAATTTTTCTTTTTGATGTCAAAATTCAGGCAAAATTAGACTGAAATCAGGATACTTACGCTTTGCACCTGAATGACACTATGTCAGTGTAACCATTAAATTAATACTAATTAAGTGAAGGAGTCCAAAGAAAGAAACAGAGTATCTCCCGTGCGATTTACTCAACTAAGTACATAAAATCAGCACAGCTAACTTCAAAAAAATATTGCATACTGTTTTAGCTTTCCTTTCTCAAAATTAAGTATTCTGGAATTTTTAAGTAACAAGTTAGTCTTACTTTCTTGCATTGAGATAGCCAGCTTTCCGTGTTAGATTTCTATGAACAGGAAATTTCGTAGGATCAGGATCAGGCAAATACAGTGGATCACTAGCTACTTCCAAGTCCTCTATAGTTTGTTGCATGTTTTCTACTTCGCACTCCATTTCCCTGCGAACACTAAGGTAAATAATGTTATTAACAAAGATAATTTGCTAATAAGTAGAAACAGAAAAAATAATTGTCTTGATAACAGTTCAAAATTCAACAAAAACAACTTACTTCTGTACACTTGTGCCAATATTGGTCAAAAATTCTTCCAATTGCTCAGTAAGATTTTCTGAACCCATTTTAAAAAAACTTATCTTTAAAAAAAAAAAAAAAAGGAAAAGGGAGAATTTAGTAATTAATAAAACTACAGTAAAAATTAACAAGGTTAAGCCACCGGTGGTTGAAGTTTCTCAGAGAAATCTGTTTTCATCCCTCACTCCCACCAAAGCCTCTCAATAAAAGGAGCAGAATGTAAGCTTTTTTTCTGCAAGTGAAGGTTGATGCTGACACCACAGTGGGATTTCATTGTGTCAAAAGGAAGTGCACAGTTACCTGGAGGAAATACAGAAATATACAGAAAGTGCCCTGGAGGGGAAACAAGGTTTGACTTTTTAGTGATCCCAAGGTCTCTCTACACTTTTTCAAGCCCACCAGTTTGCTAACTGTTGTACTATGGGTGGAGTAATTTGGAGGGCGTAGGAGAGGGGAAACCTGTGAGAATTTGTCTGGGGCCATCCTCTAACTGCGGACCCTGCCACGGGGAACTGACAATATGTATCTTAAAGACAGTGTACTCCATATTGATCCAGAAAAACTGCCACATCTAAATTGAGTTCAGCCATGTGAAATCTCAGAACAGGAAGCCATGGGGTGTGGCCCTGCCCTTCCCATTCTTAGATTCAGCAAAAACCTGCACCCGAGCAACAGATTGTACTATCTTCGTTACAGAAAACATTTACAGCTTAATTCTTAAATACAAGCTGCAAAGTTTCAAAAAGAAGCAAGAGCTCTTCTTGGACTTGAAAAGCTTTCAGACAGCATGTACAAGTTAATTTCTACTCGGGACACTGTAGCAGTGCCAGATGTTGGAAAGTTTGGCTTTTTTTTTTTTAAAAAAAACCCCCATACTGACGACATACTTCCGAAAATACAAATTAAGTCTCTCCAAAGAACTTTTTCATACTTGTATTTTCTATTGCACCCATCCTCAAATAAACCAATCATGAACTAATTTATATTAAACAAAAACAAGCCAGAATGATTTTTAGCATTCCAGTTCTCCCACACCCTTGATTGAAAACAGTAGCACTGTGAATTTGATGACTATCTCATCTCAGAATAGCTGCCACAGGAAAGAGTTTAACTGTTGTCACATTACTTTCTAACAAGGTGCACTTCCATGAAAGTTTTAATCAGCTATTCCCATTAGTGATCCAGTGGAAAAAAATACACAGCAATGAAAATTTAGGCAGTGTGTTAAATTTAGCCATCTGGGTTTTGGGGTAGAATTAGACCTTTATATTTGTCACCCAGACTTTCCTCACTAAAAGATTCTACGATGGGAGTGAGGGCATGTCATGATGAGGTTTATATCTTGAGTGGGAAATGACTAGTGCTAGCTAATGACAGTGTTCATGGCAGCAGCTATGACAACTACAGGGATGAGGACAGGGTACGTCTTTCCCTCCACTTGCTTTCTTGGATTGCAGAAGAGGTCTTGCAATGAATTTCAGTACATCCACCTTCATGAAGCACTTTTACATCTTCTTTCAGACCTACCGCTTTCGGAATCTGAAATTACCTGAGCTTGCATGTATCCTAGCAAGGGTTCTAGCATAGCAATTTTCTTTTTGTACTGAAGAGTATTTAATGCACAGAAATAATGCATCATAGTCTGGTGCTGTTTTTTCCTGGAAGTATATACATCTTCTGTAACTTCAGCCTTGATCTAAAGAGACAAAGACGGGGGAGGGGGAAAAAGGAATGTTTGAGACTTGGTATTAATCATGTGCCTTCTGGACAGCTTTATAGCCAGCATGGAGAAAACAACATGGAAACGTTCTACCCTCTATCATCAGCAACTGCGTATTTTATCCTACAATTCCGCTTCTCTAACTTACACAAGAGATACATGAAAAACAAATACAGCATTCTTTTCTCCCTGGAAAGTGTGGTTATTTCTTTACAAAAATAAATTTAATATAGTATCACAGCCTTCATCTTAGAGCATTTTCAGTGTTACAAGACAGGCACATATTGGGGAAACCTGCTTTTCTGTTGTGAAGCAAACTGTCTAGACTGCTAAAACATAAACTAGCAACCTTCAGGTGGAATCTGCCATACACTGTCATCCATCACAAATATATATATTACATGAAAATTATTTCTTATCTCATCTAAAAATCTGTATATTATGTATTTTATTTTACGAACCTTTTCATTTTCCCTTCTTTTTGACAACCGACTGTATCTGGTAATGGCAGCATCATGGTCTAAGCAATCAAGAGAGAATTTATGATCATTTTGATAAATTAATGACTTACAAAACTGAGCAGAAAACCTTTTATATCACTGTGTGTTGCACAGCCAGCTGAATGCAAAGTTCTGTCATATTAAAACCATTAACAATTGTTCTTGCCTGTTTGTAATTACTTCACTGCCATAAATACTTGGGCTGAAGAAAAATTCTAACCAGATGCAAACATGGCCAAATTGTTACAAATTTCCCTATACATTTAATAGTCTTCAAAGACAGAAACTTTCTATAAGTAGAGACAACTTTCCATTATCACAGAATCATAGAATTGTTTAGGTTGGAAAAGACCTTCAAGATCATCAAGTCCAACCGTTATGAAAACCTGAAATTTTTCTTGCTTCTAAAGCAATGAAGCAATTTACAGTAAGAGAAGCAGAATGCTTACTTAATCCTTACTTAAAGAATATGTTCTCTACAAGGATATAGCAGAGCTAGCTAAAAAAGTGACTTCTGACAGCAAGGAAGAGAACTATAAAACCAATTTTAGGGAGGAAAAATTTGTTTATTAATCCAGTCCAGTCTTTAAGGAGTGAGCTAGCACCTTACTATTTTTAGCAATGTTGGTAGCATAATCCCAAATTATTTAATAATTATATATACTTTTAAAGTATTGTAAAAAAGACTAATACTGTCAATTTGCCTTAACACCTTGGTACACAAAGCAGGGATTTACAGGGGAACCAAGGAAAGCTGCATGCCTAAGTATCACTGAAAAAAATTACAGCTTAATTAGTCACTTTAAGCCATGCAAATATCTTCACTAGTTTTCTGAGTAAATAATCTATAATAGTACTGTTGTCTTGTAATATCTATACCATTAAGTATTTCACACTTACCATTGCTTGCAATTTGGAAAACTTCTTTTAGAGTTAATATCTCTACAAAACAACATATAACGATTTAAATAAGTTGTTATTAACATAATATTTATATAGTAAGGTTTCTCATGCAATGTTTCACTACTGAACAGTTGTCATTCACACCTTGTATCATACTGAATTACCAGCACAGGCATTATGTGGCCAGGAAAGTCTGCTCCTACTTAGGGCCCGAGTATCATTTATGTGGCTGTCTGGCTTAGCAAAAAAGATACATTACTGTAGTAAGTTAAGGAGGAACTTCTTTTCAAAAGACTTTGAAAGAGATCGTCAATACAAATGCGTCACCTATTTTTCTGGTCAAAGTTCTGCTCTGAGTGGGGAAGTGGAAGCACAGGAGACGGGGAAGTTATCACTGGATCAAGGGAAAGCCCCAAACACACTGTGATTCCTCCTACCTAAAATCAGTCATGGTCTAGATGGTTATTTCGTGTCACTGTGCCATGGAACAGAAAACAATACAATACTTGGCACTTGTTCCGATCTTGATTGTGGTTTTGTGTCATGTTACAATAAAGCAGAGAGCTATGTTCAACTTTATGGTAAAGCAAAGACAAAAGAGCATGGAAAAGCTTTACAGACAGTGCCTATGAAGTCCATAAAGAAGTATGGTGTCATTAAATACTACATCAGTTGGTGGTTAAAAACTTCCAGTGGGAAAATTTAATTTGTGATTATTGCTTCAGGGATGCTTCTTCAGTAAATATTAACAGGAGATTTTTCCAGGTTCTGAGGAGTAATATTAGCCCTAAGATAGTCATGTTCCCTTCCTCAAAAAGCATAATCTATTTAATCCATAACTTTGCAACAAACTATTGCCAAAGAAGTATCTTCCAAGATTCATAAAGAACTAGAAGACTTATGGAAGAATTGTAATTTTAATTTCAATTTAGACTTAAAATGTTCATATGTTAGGCATACCCACTCTAGGATGTTCAAATTAGGGATTTAAGTTATTTTGGTTTTGACTCTTATATTTGACGCCCATTTGCCACACCAGTCTATTCACTTTAGCATCTTGAGTAAAATCTATCATACAGACGCAATATATATATATATATATTATTTTAGACCAGGCAGAATAAGATACATCTGTTAACAAAAATAACAAGTTGGAAGCATCTTATGCCTGAACGTAAGAAGCTGCCTATATTACCAGCAGGGTTGAAGAACCACCTTACTAAATCATAATAATATAGTAAGTACTACAACTTTGGCACTTTGCTTCTTGAGTTTAGTCCAGCCATCATATTGATATCATGGTATTATAAAAAGATAAAAATATTTCCTGGACATGCAAATTATCTGAAAATTGTTCTTTCCTAATGTTTACAGTAACTGCAAAATTTTAATCTTGAATAGAAGATAAGTGCTTCCATAATATAAGTCATATTTTTGTTGAAACAGTAACAGTGTTAAGTTCTTCAACTGTAATACTCTCACGAATAGAAATAACTTACATTTTTTTTAAAATTGGGAGGTGCATACTTTTGAGAGCTGAAAAATAAGTGGCATATACTATTTAGTGAAACAGGAGCTATGGAGATTAAACGCTACATTTTTGTTGCTGCTGCTGTTGACAAAAACAGGATTTGTTTGAGCACTCTACCTTTTAGATCCCTTTCTTTAAACTGGGTAATAGGAAACATCATTGCATCCGCAAGTTGAGTTGAAAGTACTGCATGGCAGGAGCTGAGCTATAAAAGACAAGAGAAAGAAGGAAATTTTATGAAAACACTGCTAAGATAAATAAAATTTAAAAATAAATACATAATAAAAAAA